AGAAATCGCACGGCGGTGGTGCGGCGGCAGTGGGAGGCCCCATTAGCTAAAGTGGTACCTCAGGTTAAGAACATTTCAGGTTAAGAATGGACCTCCAGAACGAATTAAGTTCTTAACCCGAGTTACCACTGTGCGTTCTTTGTTTCTTCAGCTTGTAAACTGCCTTGGGTATTGTAAGATAGAAAAATTGTATACAAATTAAAAGTGATGATGGTGATTTTGGCATTTAAGCAATATATAAATTAACCAATGATGGTGATGACAAAAGCACAAGCTTTGAATCAATCATCACACTCCTGGCTTGAAACTCAATTGATTTGGACTCAATGTATTCAACCGAGCAAGCAACCTAGCCACCAGCATATATTTAAGGAATGAAATCCAGAAACATAATGAACATCATAAGAACCTACTGGATCAGTCCAAAGACTTATCCAACATTCTGTTCTCACAGTTGCCAACCAGATGCATGTGGGAAGTATTCAAGCAGGACTTCAGATCAACAATCTCTCCCAAACGTCGCATCCACAGAAATCTAGACAATTTTTGAAATGGCAATTTTAAAAGTTATTTATTTCAAAATGTATAGACAACCATACATTTAGAGAAGATAGAAGCTGTGTGCAGAAACAGAATATAAAACACAATGTAGATCATCAAACAGTATTAAAATGTGTAAAAGCAGCAGTTATTTAAAAGTGATGGGCTGGGATCACCCAGAGAGGAAGAGTATTTTTCTGCCCTACTTGGACTGAATATGGGACTGTTTGCATGGAAAGAATGTGTTGTTCCAGTAATCTGCAGGTCTTCCCCATTAATGGAATACAGCAATGCTGACATTTTAATGAAGGGAAGAACTCCTCACATAGATATGGTTTTTTGGAAGCTGCCTTGCTCCCCTTGTAACATGTACTTCCATGCACTCTGACTTGCCTGGTATAATTGGCAGCATTTGTGGTAGAGGTGAGATTCAAATAATGGACTTTCAATCACAAAATTACCAATTACAGTGAGTATCCCCCTCAAGTGACAGGTACCAAGAAGACTTTAGAAAACATAAGCTTCCTTATCACATTCAGACCAGAAAGAGAAGCACAGACAAACAAAGCAGCAAGGAAATCGAATGAAGCTTGGAGGTACAAGGTAATGAAATCATAGGTGAAACATATAACTTTGTAGAAAGAAGAACACCAAGTTATGTGTAAATGAACAGCAAATTTGATCGTGATGGAGAGAGCAGTCACAGGACTCTCAGTCACAGCAGTGTTCACAGTTGAAAACAAGAGGTCCCAATATGTTTCCTAGACTCAAATTGGCTCTTGAAAATTTCCCAACAAATATCTCTTCAGTAGGTGAACACGGCAATTCATGCAGGCCACAAGAAGAGCGTATTGGTAAACATAAAAGTTGTAGACTTCACAGACAGTGCAGACACTACCAGTTGAGACAAACCGCAGAGGGCTGCATGCCATGTAGTTGTTGCTACAACACCTAAATGACCCAGGACATCTTGTTGTGAGATATATATATAATTTATGAATGAAGGTATATTGTATATCGCCCTACATCCATAGATCCCAGGGTGGTTCACAACACAATAATACAAGATAAAAACAAAACACATAATAAAAGCAAGAACAAAAGTGAACCAATAGCCCCTCCTGCCCCCACTGCCTCCAACAACACATTCAGTCAAAGGCCTGGTTGAAGAGAAATGTTTTCAATTGGTGCCTAAAAGTTCATAATGAAGGCGCCAGCCTTCTCTTTGGGAAGAAGATGCCACAAATGGGGAGCCACTGCAGAAAAGGCTGTGGGAACCACCGCTTGAGGCTTCGTTTGGCTGCTGGCTGGGCTTTCTGTCTTTGGCTCAGAGGGGCTCAGAAGTTGAATATACCTGTGTCTGAAAAATCCCTTATTTTGGCTGCTGATCCCTTATTTTCAAGGCTGCTGGTCCCTTATTTTCAAATCTGGAAGTTGACAGCTATTTTGCAGTGTTGCACTTAATAATAACTACAATATAATCCAAATATAAAAATACCCTCCAGCAGCTTTGCAGTCATGACACAGAACTATTGTTTGCAAATCACTCTTTTTAATTCCTATTGGTGCCATTTTGATTTTTCTCTCTCAGTAGCAGTCATTGTTAATGGCAGCTTTGCAGTGCCATAAGTGCCTGCAAGGAACTTACATGCTGATGTTTATAATGAAGGAGCTAATTAAAGGAACTGGGGAGGGGGTGAGATCAGCACAACAGGGATTTAGCTACATTCATAAAGATAAAGCGCTTTATATGCGTTATAACACTGTGACACCAGATGGCGCTGTGGAGTCCTGTCTTTCGCCAACAGGATTTCCCCATATGAAGTTTACAACGTGCTTAACTGAATCGCTTTTTTGATGTGTCTAGATCCAGCCCAGGAGGTGAAAGCAAGCAAAACTGCACACAAACTTCTGCAAGTGAGCAAATGCAGAAGTTGGTGTGCAGCTTTGCCTAATACACACATTTTTACAAATCATTTTCCCCCTAATATTTGCCTTTTCACTAATATATGCATCTTTATCCTAGTATGTGCATTTCTGTTCCCATTAGCTGGCTGCAGAACTACAATGCCAAATCTGGAGAAATGTGAATTTCAAAGAATGACTGTGCTTCGGTTTGCATATTGTTTTGGGAAATGCAGATTTGATAGGTCCACCTTTAAATGCACATTGAATTGATTCCCCCTCCTTCTCTTGTGACGTCTGATTTTTTTGGTACATGCCCCCCTATTTCAGCCTTCTTTGTCATATCCAGAATTGTTCCAGAGTGTCCCTCCCTCCAGTTTATGGGGGAGTGGAGGACAGCAGAGGGTGGGTGAGCAAAAATCAGCTGCCCCACATTTCAGATGAGGACATGCTTTCTGCTAGCACACAGCCACCATTGGATAGATCCCTTGATCATGAACTGAATTGCATTATCGTAATCCTTGCCATCACTCCATGCATATATATATATAAATAATCCCTTGCAGAAAATGCATTTGAAACTACTTTTGACTGGATCTTGAGACGTGGCTTCAAGAGCAATATCGCTCTGATGCTTAATAAATATAAAATAACAATTAATAACAATTATGGTTGTAAATGGTAGGAAAGAGGAGCCTAATTATCCAATTATCTGATTTGCACAGAGACTCAGGTAATTAGACAGCTCAGTTCTAAAGTTTGCACCTGTAATTAATTATGTGTGTAAAAACGTTAACGATTTAATGCAATTTATGTAAGATTGCATTTATTTATTTATCACTGGAGCATGAATAATCTCAGCAAAGAAAACCTTCGTATCTCCACTCTGTTTTATAGCCCTATTATCTGAATTTATGCTATGTTCCCGTAGCAAGCATCTTCTGGTACACTTCATTGTTTAAAATGCAACACATCTGGCATTCCAATTGTTCATTAGCATTATGTTGATTGTTCTATACTAGTTGCATTTGCACTGTGAATATTAAGTGCTTGGCAGTTTTTGGACTGCAAGGGATTTTAGCAAATCATATCCACGAGAAGAAGAGACCCTGGATTTGTAACATCTGCCAAAATGCTCACTTTCAATCAGTCCTTTACTAAGCTCTCTCACAGCAGGTGTATCCACTAGTGAGGATTTCCATGTGCCAGTGTCGTTGAGTATATTATGAATGTGCAACATGACTGTACAGAACAATCTTAAATTTGCATAGGAAAATATCCTTTTAAATTATATACCCAAGACATGGAATTGAACAAAGGGACAATATGAATGGACATTACACACCCTTACTACAGCAAAAAGACAAGTATTGATGAACTGGAAAAATAAAAATACAGCTCCCTTTAATGAGTGGATTGAAGGTATGTATAAACTCGCTACACATGAACTAGTTGTGTATAAACGTAGACTTGCCATGGACAAATTTAATGTACACAATACATTGTTTTGTTCTATTTGGTTTTCTACATGGGTACTATTTCTTGTTTCTTCTTCTTTTTGTGTCTTACCTTACTCTGTACACTTGCAAATCTGTACTTTTTATTATTCAGTAAAGAATATAAAATAAAAAAAGGAATGTGCAAAGCTACCCTGGGAAATGCTACTAATCTCATCAAAATTCACTTCAGTTCCACTGCCAACCCTCAATATACAGATGATTTTCTTGAACACCGTTCCCAACACCCTCAAGCTGCAATTATGGGTTGGTGAAAAATTCAATTCAGTGTGCATTTAAAAATGAACTTACTTAATTCACACTTTCCGAAACAATATGCGGACCGAAACACAGCCATCCTTCAAAATTTGCACTTCTCTTAATTTTGCAACGTGGTTCTCCAACCAAGCAATGTGTATGAAAATACAAATACATTGGGTAAACTGCATATAAATGCATATATTGGTGAAAACAACATACAAAAATGCCTTATATTTGGGAAATTGTTTTCCAGAAGCTCAATAGTCTGGTATGTATATAAAAATAGGTATATTAGAAGAAATTCACACTAGAACGCTGGTGAATTTTCCAAGTTCCTTACCATCCAATATCCTGCAGAAGCAACTCATGCAATGTGCATCTTTTGGGGTTGCACTCTTGCAGGAGCCAAGACAGGACATCCCGGAATCCAATCAGAAGGCTTTTGTAATTATGGGATGCTCAAATAGGACCAGTTCTTAGCCTGAATCCTTGCATAGAACTCTATTTTAAAGCCTTCATTTCCTTCTGCCAGAATTAGGCAGTGCACCAACAGCTTCACAGCTGAACGAGGTTTGCATCTAGTGTAATCTTACACTAGCTTAACTGACACAGTCTCACTTTATGTCAGCTTCTGGTGCACAGGATTCCTTCCTAATTTAGGTCTGTTGATATGATTTTTTTATTTACAGCATTTGTATCCAACTCATCTGTGGCTCAGTTAATAGAATCATAGAATTGTATAATTGGAAGGGAACATGAGGGTCATCTAGTCCAACCCTCTGCAATACTGGAATCTTTTTGCCCAACGTGGTGCTTGAACTCATGACCCTGAGATGATGAGTCTTATGCTGTACCGACTGAGCTAACCAGCAGGTCAGTGCTGGCTGAGCCACGGCTGGTGTAAGACCCCCAAAGGGGACTTCCAGGAATATGGCAGTGGGAGACCCGGGGATGAGGGGACTTAGGCTGGATCCAAAACCCATTCCACTTGGTCGCATGACCTGGCAACCTGGCATATAACAGTTTGAAGTCTTATTTCCCCTCTGCTAGGCTGCATTCAGACCTCATTTTATTTGATCTTTCACACAACGTAAAAGCTATTGTTGGAAATCTAGTAGACTATCGTGGAAGTTTTAGTGCTCATTTCCTTGTCAATTACTTCCAGAAAGAATCCATTTGCAACCCCATTAACCCAGAAAATTGTGGGATTCAAGTGACACAATTTGTGGTGCTATACCAGCATACAATCCTTTCCTGCCATTTTCAACGGTGAATCACGGGGAACGTAAGCAGAATGTGCAGAAAGCAGCATGTCCAGTTATGTTTGGTGCTGTTGTGTCATGCCACGCCCACAGGTATGAATGAAATCTAGCGTGACCTACCAGAGTATCAGTTAAAAGCCACAGATCCATAATGAAATGGGCACTGTACTATGAGAGCAATGTCAGAAACTGGGACAGAAGCACCACCATTATAAATCAGTGAAACTAATACAATAAACCCCTTTTCTGAATGCCGTCATAACCACTCCATACTTATGCTATTACATTTCTTGTCACCTTGGCTGTTTGCTCGAATTCGCCCTGACGTAATATAGCTCCTGGGAACAAGATAGCAAAAGTTCATCGTGACAAAGTATCATTAATAACAGCAGAATATGACTCAATCTTGATTTTTGATGGGGCTTCGTCGCAACTAACTTTTGTGAGGTTGCATCCCTGGAGCTTTGTGTTCTGTATTGGAAATTGGGCATTGCACACACATTGTTTCTCGTTTTCTATGTCTGCATAATCAAAACTGTAATTTTGACTGCAAACACAATTAAAATTCCAGATTCGTTTGCAGGAGCACATGCTATTTGATTCTCTTCGTGGCAATTATATATTGTTTTAAGGTGTAGGGTTGTTTTTGTTTTGCGATCTGATTAACCTCAGGGAAAAGCCAAATAGGAACCCCCTACTTTATATTTAATTTAAATTGAGAATAAATGATTGCACTAAAGAGAGCAATGTCTTAATCTATTGAAGGAACAGTGTCGGAGTTCATTAAATGAGGGGTAACCTTCAAGCACATGCAATAAGCGATCTGTCACAGACACAAGACACAATTTATCTCTCTTCTCCAGTGAAAACACAACCACTGGGACGATATTTCAGTTCTGTTTCGATTGGTGCAAATCAACAGTCACTCCCGTGGAGTGAATATTAAATTCATTTGATGAATTTTTTAATCAAACATTGTCCCAGAGCTTAAATTCTAAAACAAGAGTTTCTGCAGCTCAGGCCTTCCTTAAACTTATTACTTGTAACCTTGAAGCCCAATGTCGTAACTCCAGATGAGTTATGTGTCTTTGATTAGCATGGAAAAGATTTCTAAGCATTATACCATCACCTTTTCTCAGGCTGAGGCCCAGTTCTAATGTTTTTTATGGTCTCCATGCAATTGCCTGTGGGAGCAAATGATGATGATTGGAGCAAGCTCAACACCCTACTGTCATAATATAGGGTGCTGGTTGCATGCATAATTTTATTGATTAGCAGGTGCCTATGTACCTGGTCAAGGGATGCGGGTAGCGCTGCGGTCTAAACCACAGAGCCTAGGAGTTACCAATCAGAAGGTCGGCAGTTCGAATCCCCACAACGGGGTGAGCTCCTGTTGCTCGGTCTCTGCTCCTGCCAACCTAGCAGTTCGAAAGCACCTCGAAGTGCAAGTAGATAAATAGGTACCGATCAGGCGGGAAGGTAAACTGTGTTTCCGTGCGCTGCTCTGGTTTCGCCAGAAGCAGCTTAGTCATGCTGGCCACATGACCCGGAAAAACTGTCTGTGGACAAACACTGTCCCCCTCGGCCAGTAAAGGAAGATGAGTGCCGCAACCCCAGAGTCGTTCATGACTGGACTTAACTGTCAGGGGTCCTTTACCTTTAGGGAAAAGACCAATCTGTGATCCAAAATGTGAATTTATTAAAAAAGAAAAAATACATGGCCCTCTTGTGATGACCCCTAAACACAATGGGAGATAGTGAGGGAGGAAGGATGCTGTTGCAAAAGGAGAGGCTGGGGAGAAGGCAGATTGTCCCTTAAATAGGGATCTGGCCCTGCCCCCCTCCTCAAACCACCTTAAAGGTAAAGGGACCCCTGACCATTAGGTCCAGTCGTGGCCGACTCTGGGGTTTTGGCGCTCATCTTGCTTTATTGGCTGAGGGAGCCAGTGTACAGCTTCCGGGTCATGTGGCCAGCATGACTAAGCCGCTTCTGGCGAACCAAAGCAGTGCATGGAAATGCTGTTTACCTTCCCACTGGAGTGGTACCTATTTATCTACTTGTACTTCATGCTTTCGAACTGCTAGGTTGGCAGGAGCAGGGACTGAGCAACAGGAGCTCACCCTGTCGTGGGGATTCAAACCGCCGATCTTCTGATCAGCAAGTCCAAGGCTCTGTGGTTTAAGCCACAGTGCCACCTGCATTCCCAAACCACCTTAGGAAAGTGCCAATCAGCACCATGGATTTTCCCATGCTGCCTCTCTTTCCCCAATGGCCCTCAAAGACCCCCTTCCCTCTCAGCACCACCTGATCTGTTTGGCAAAGCATTCTAAGAATTAAATAATTGGATATATGTATATATTGAATCCTGTGACTTAAGTGTTCAGTGCCAATTCCTCAACTTGGTTCTGCTAACCAAAATGTGGGTAATAAACAGTGTTAGGTTTTTTGGTTTTTGTTTGTTTCCTCAGCCAGACAAATGTGATTGCTTTTTCAAAGAATTGCAAAATTAGTGATGATGGCAGTGCATTATATGTAACACATATTTGCAATTAATTCCGTAAAGTGGTTGATACAGCATGCTATAATAACCACGCATCCAATATTAATTTAAATTGGTTTAGATACGAAAACTGTCATTTGGAATGAATGCTGCTGAAGGACCGTGGCGGGGAGGGGGGAGAGTGGTGAGCTATTGAATTGGGAGGACTGTGCTCTGGCTTATTGCCAAAATTGTTAGATCAAGTTATAATTAATTTCTCCGTTAATGACCAAGATTCTCCAGACCTTATTAAAATGGGAAGAATTAGAACCACCAATCATTGTGTGAGAAAAACAGAAAAATACAGACCAAAAAGAGGGGCAATCAGTATAATGATCTGATCATAATTTTTTGTGTTTGGTTCCAGACAAAGTTAGTCAATGTGGAAAGTTAGTCATAGCTAACTTTACTCCTGTTCATTTCAATGGGAGCTATATTACAGTGGATTAAATGGAGAAAATGGAGAGGTCAGTTAGCTATTTCTGAGTGGATCATAGGGCACAAGCATGGTGTCCATGTGCCCATGGAATTATTATTATTATTTATTAAATCTGCATAGCGCCCTTCATCAGAAGACCACACATAAAAATACAAAATGAGAAGACAAAATACATAATAAAACAAAAACAGAACAATAACCTCCCTCCCATTTAAAAGGACACAGAATGGTAATCAGCCCAAGGCCTGGACGAAGATCAACATGTTTTCCTGGTGCCTAAAGATATGCAATGGAAGTGCCAGGCGAGCCTCCCTGCGGAGATAATTCCACAAATTTGGAATCACTGCAAAAAAGAAGGCATATTTTCGTGTTTCCACCCTCTAGACCTCTCATGGAGGGGACACAAAAGAAGGGCCTCCGATGATGATTGCAGAGTCCAGGTCGATTTATATGGAGAGAGGCGCTCCTTGAAGTATTGTGGTCCTGAGCCATTTAAGGCTTTATAGGTCAAAACTAGGACTTTGAATTGGGCTCAGAAACTACCGTATTTTTCGCTCTATAACACGCACCCGACCATAACACGCACGTAGTTTTTAGAGGAGGAAAACAAGAAAAAAAAATTCTAAACGAAACAGTGGATGTATGATTTTTGTGGTTCATGCTGTGGCCAAAGACATGTGATCTGACAGTGAGTTTGGAGTAGCCCAATGCAAACATCCTGAGGATCCATGTGGATCCATGCTTTGTAACCACGTTTTTGCACCACTGCGGCCCCAGGCAACAGTGGGTGTGTGATTTTTTTGGTGCAAGATGTAGCCATGGACATGCTATGTGATCTGATGGTGAATTTGGGGTGACCCAGTGCAAAATCCTGAGGATCCATGTGGATCCGTGCTTTGTAACCACGTTTTAAGTGGGGAGGGAAGGAAAAGCACTCAAGGGACAAGGAGCATGTGTGGGGTGGGTGGAGAAGGATGCTGCTAATAATGCAGAAGAGGGGTATAAGGGGAGAAGGCTCCTCTCCTCTCCCGCTTTGCTCCTTTAAAGCAAGCAGGCTCTGCTTTCTCCCCTCCTCCCCGCTCATCCCCGGCTTAGCGAGCTGAAAACTTTGCTGCTATTTAGCGAGCTGAGTGGGGAGGAGGGAAAGAGAGCCTGCTTGCTTTAAAGGAACCAACCGGACAGGCGCCGCTTACACTTGTGTACGCGGCTCCTCTCCTCTCCCGCTTTGCTCCTTTAAAGAAGCAGGCTCTCTGTCCTCTCTCCTCCCCACTCAGCGGCTCTTCTCCTGCTTTTCTGTTTCAAAGCGAGCCACGGAGGAGGGAAGGAAAGGGAACCATGGATCCTCTGCTCACGACTGCAGCAGATCCCGCCACTCGTAGACATTCCCTCCATAACACGCACAGACATTTCCCTTACTTTCTAGGAGGAAAAAAGTGAGTGTTATGGTGCAAAAAATACGGTAATTGGCAGACAATGAAGTTGAGCTACGACCGGTCTTGCCGCAGTGAAAAACCTGGCCACTGAATTCATGCACCAGATGAAGTTTCCGAACTATCTTCAGAGCTTTTCTTACATGGGCTATAATGCCTCTTTTTATTTTTAAGGAATGTGATTTAAATATTTTCTGTATC